TGCTTCTTCACTTTACCTTAGATTAATTTCCAAGGGACGACAACTTTAATTGCAGACATTTCTGTACAAATATTTCACTGTAAGAACGAAGATTGAAGGAATGAAAGAAAAAAGAAGTACGCAGACAAATCACTGTAAAAAATTTATTTTGTAGTAAAGGCATAAAATATAGTGATTGGTATGTTTAAATTGAAGCAACGTTCTTCGCAAGAAAAAGGTAATTTAGAAAGACGTTTCAGCTTTTTGCTTCATTTTGCTTGGTTTCGTTTTCGCTGTTTCATTTTTTTCAAACAAGCTCTTGTACCAGTCAGCTAAAAAAAAGACTTCTTTTTTTTTTGGAAGAAGCATTGTGAGAAAAAAAAACAAAAATGAGAAAATATATTATATTTATTTGAAACGAGAAAAAAAACGAGAAACATACAGACGAGTAATCAAAATTGTTGTAGAAGTCATTAAAATTGTTTCATCCACCCTCCCTTCCCCTCATCTTCCCAATATTTCGCCACAATCATTGCTTATCAAGTAAAATTTTGCCAGTTGTAAGCTTTAAAAAAAAAAACAGGCAAAAATTTAGCGCATTTCTGCTCAAAAAAAAATTTGTTTTCGCTTTCAACAGTTATCTTAGGATTAATGCTTATTAGAATTTGAGTTGTTGTTGGACTGAAGTCTATTTGGTATTGCTGTTCGAATCACCTGTATAAAACAGTTAACAGATGGCGTAGCGTCATCTTTTGAGGTTTTAAGACGTCATTGCCAAGAAAAATTAAAAGCGTTAGCTTGAGAAACCAAATTCCACCACAAACTAAAACATTTATATGACTCGGTAATATTGTTTTTTACCACCAATCTTTATCAACTTCATTATTACTGTCGCCGTCGACGTCAACATCGCCATCGTCACCTGTATCATCGTTGCCGATATCCATGCAGAACATTATGACAGTTTCATGATTTTTGCTCCTTTAGTATTCTTTGCACAACTAAAAAAACCATGTAGGATACAAGATAAAACCGTTGTTAACACTGGAAAGCTTATTGTGCTATATTCCTTACGCAGTTACTGATGTTACTTAACATTACTGTAGTTCATTAAAAATTCAAAAACTAGAC